TTTTACGGCCCGTGGCAGAATACGAAAGGTCCGAGCTCTTGCAGAGAAATGAATCTCTCCCACTCCGGTAGTCTCCAAGCACCACGACCTCCTCGGGTGCATATAATATATTGACTTGGGAAGTCTAACTTGCAGTGTAATTGGGCCAAGCCGGCCACTCAGTTCTGCTCCAGAGAGTCCTCCGAAGACAGGCTCTCTCGGCCAGGCTCATAAATACGAGGACAGGAAGAACAAACTCACTTCTGCTTGTTCTTCATCTTCCTTTTTTTTTTTTTTATAATTAAACAGTTAGTGGATAAATTGCATGGTAATTGATTGCAAAATTGCTTTTTTAATGAGATTTAGACACCAGGAAATAGCTTTTTTTCTCCAATACGCCCAAAGTGAACCTGGTCCTTTTGACAAGTCCCCTTGCTGGCCTCCTGGGCACGTGCCCCTCGGGGAGGAGCAGAGAGCAGGGGACGCGGCTCAGACTGTCTGAGGCTGTCCTGCCCGCCCCCTCATCCATCGGGATGCTGAAGGCTGCTCTGGGAAGTGTCTCCTGCATCTCGCCCCAGCTCACCATGTGCCCGTCCCCGGAGGGACCTGTGAGGTCCCCCGGCCCCCAGCACCCGGCTGGCAGGAACTGTCAGAACTTAAGGCTTCCCAGAATCTGGCACGGGGAGGTCTTTACATTTAGTGGATGAAGACACGGAGGCACTTCTCGGGACCCACCCCAGGCCTCCCTGATGGAATTCCAGCCCCCGCGAGTCCACAGCTCAGAGGCAAGACGCTGAAATAGGTACACCAACAGATCAAGAGGCCCCACGGTCGGTAGAGCCCGTGTACGAGAAGGAGCTCTTGCACGGGGCCTTGCAGGGTGAGTAGGAGTTGGCAGGATGAAGCCAGAGTGAGCACCGTGCTCTCTGCTCACACTGGGTGTCCAGTGGGTGCGTCCACGAGCAAGGCAACCGTGGCAGGAACCCGGCCGGCACCGGGAGGAGCTTGACCCGAGTCCTTGCCCAGCCACACCCTTGATCCATTTCGGCTTCTCCACCGCTCACCGGGGCTGTGGGTGTGAATTAACAGAGATGCTGTCTCTGCCCTCCTGAAGCTCAGCAGGAGACGTGCCCATGTAATCGTGCGTCCCCACCCTGTGCGGTCTGGAGGAGGAGACAGCCACCCCCCCAAATGGTCACACGCACAGAAAGTGCAAAATTCCAGGATGGGGCTGATCCTGTATGGGGTGGGCGGACAGGTTCTAGACCGGCTGTTGGATGCACCCTCCCCAAGGAAGATCCAGACATCACAAGCAACCTGGCGAGGCAGGGAACGCTGCTCCGCGTGGAGGGAACGGTGTGTGCAAAGGCCTGGGGCAAGGGGTCACGTCAACCCCTGGGGTCTGGGGGCCTCTCAGGAGGGCAGGGAAGGCAGAGCGGTGGCCGTGGAAAGGAGCTGTGTCTCTGTCAGGGAGGGCTTCGAGGCGGGAGTGACGTGGACAGGTCTGCGTCCAGAAGAGGCATCACTGGTGGCTGTGGACCGAGCATCTGGGGGGACGCGGGGTGCCGGAGGGCAGGCAGGAGGGTCCGCAGACGGCGCAGCCCACACACTGTCCTGTCCCCGGGTGGCCGCGTGTTCCCGTGTCTCCTGTGCCCTTGTGTGTCCTTTCAGGGACCCTCCCCAAATACCTGAGCCAGGTTCGGTTTGTCCCGAGCCCCTCACTCCGTCCTGCGGCTGGGTCAGTGACCACGGGGAGCCAGCTCTGCACAAATTCGGAAGCAGACTCATCATCAAGAGGTCTGGAAGCCGTCAGCAGCCCAGCACCCGTTGCGTGGATCCCCGGCACGTCCCCGAGTGGCTCGGGCGTCGAGTGAGGCTTCACCGCCGGGTGAACCCCTGAACGTACGGCCCCAACGCTGATAGACCTCCTCTTGCCCACGTGAGAGTCCAGCGCGAGTGCGTGCTCCTGGCGGTGATGCATTCCCTCCACATAAAGACTCAGGGACCGAGTTGTGTCAAGACTCGTGTCCCACCTGTCGTCCCCCTCGTCCAGCTTCTTCCGCAAACATTTTGGGCTTTGTGGGTCAGAATGCCTCTGCCACGACTTCTGGGCTCCGCCACCCACCGTAGCGGGGAAGCAGGCACAGACTAACCCGGGGGCGAATGGGCGTGGCCACGTGCCAGTAAACTTGACTTAGAGAGACAAGCAGCAGATGGGAAGGGCCGTGTTCCGATAAAACTTTATTTATAAAAACACACAGCAGGACCAGATTCAGCAGGTGTGCTGTATTTTGTCCCCTGCTCCCCGTTGGCAACGGGGTAAGGAGAGGGTCGAGGAACGCTCCTTGGTAAGTCCCTGCAGCCAGAACGGCCCCGCGTTCCTGTGTCCCTGCCCAGGTGAAAATTCGTCCCAGGCTGGGCAAGTGCCCCCTGGGGGAAGGGAAGCGGGTCCTGGTGATGGGCTAACCGCCAGCCCCGGGACCCGAGTTACTGAGTTCTGTCCAGCCAGCACTTACCGAGCACCTACCGTGGGGCAGGCTCTGAGCTCCATCCGGGGAGACTGGCGGGCACAGGACTCTGCTCCCGCCCGGGAGGAACCAGGGTCCAGTCTAAACAGAAAATGCAGCTATTCCTAAGAGCAACGCAAGCTCCCTTTCAGACAGGTGCCCGAAATGCCAGAACCACGCCCTACGGGGACGCAGCTGAAAGAGCCACAAATCAACAGGGCCCTCCAAGGCAGGAGCATTCTGTTCAGTTCTATTGAAGCCCCTGAGCTCAGCACAGCCCCCCACCCCACACACACACAGCCCCCAGAATTGGCTGGATGGGAGAATGCACCCCGACCCCTCCTCAGAGCTGGACCCTGGGGGCTTCTCATCCTCCACAGGTTCCTTAATCCAAGCCAGAGACCCCCGGATTACTGCAAAGTCAAGGGGAATCATTTGCATCCCAAAACGAGAGCAAACATTAGGTCTTTCCAGCAGGCGTTGGGGCTGGAGGGGGACTCCAGCCTTGCCTGCAGCCACGAGGTCTGACTCTAGGACTCTGTAACAGGAACTCAAGGATTCTTCACACCTTAGGAAAGGCAGGCACACCCACAGCTTGTGGGGACCCTCACAAGTGACGCGAAGGACAAGGTCAGCTCCGGTCCGTCCAGCTTACAGGAGACCCCAGCCAGGGCCTACGGGGTGAGGCGGGTCCCCCAGCGCCACACCAGGGCCTGGAGGCCAGGGCTGAGTCTGGAATCTATGGGGGCCATCCCCTCCCCGGGCCTGTGGCTCTAGCCCTGAGGACACCATACCACTAAGTACCCATCTCCTTGCATCTTCTCTGAAGAAGAGTGATCCAAGCCCAGTACGTACTGCAAACACTCAGAAGCTGTAATCTGGTGAAGTTTATAAATGAGGTGCCCTGGGGCGTGGCACAAAAGGGATGGGGTTTACAGAAAATCCAGGGACAGGGGCTGGGGGACACTCTCCGTTCCATGGCCTCTGGCGAGTCGCCCACACCCTCATTTTATTCCCAGTCATCCCAGGAGGGGTGGGCTCAGAAGCTCCCTGGAGTCTTCCCTACTCGAGGAAAGTGCTGCAGTCGATTTTCTCAGGGCATTAGGCCAACATCTTCACATTCCCTTAGTGGCTCCTTAGCCCCCGGAGGGGAGGCAAAGGCCCGCAGGGAGGCCTGGGCGAGGCCCTCAGGCAGCCTCTGGATTGAGGCCCAGCAGAGAGAGCGGGGGCCCTGGGGAGGGCGGGTGGAGGGCCGCCGACTCCCCGCAGGTGCCCAGAGCCCGGAAACGCCGCAGGTGCCCAGACTCAGAGCTCCAGAGTAGCGGTAGCGTGGTGAGAACGAGCGTGGGGGGTGCCCACAGGTCCTTGCGCATCCTTGGAGAGGGAGGGGGCCTGGGGGTGGGAGGAAGCCGTCCCGTCAGGGGCGGGAAGCTGGGCTGGGGGGACTTTCCAAATGGGAGCCCCCGCGCCAGGGAGGAGGTGACCACGGGACTTCGCGGGCGTCTGTTCTGAAAGGTCACGAGCGCCAGGCCAAAGTCAAGATTTGTATTATTTTTCGAAAGCCGCGTGGATGGGTGCGCGCTAGCTATACAAACAGGTGGTGATTGCAGTCACTTGCCGTTCCCGTGGCAACAGGCGAGATTAAAAGAGCAAACAAGGAGGGGAATTCTCTCCAGATTCAACTCCGCAGATTTCGGATTTTCACCGCCAAGCAGCATGCTAGAACATGGCGCCCGCGGCTCACCGTCCAAGTTCCTGGGTAAGCGACCCGGGGCCTCCAGCCTGACCACGCCGCCCTCACTCCTCCCATCCAGGGCCTGAAGGCATCGGGTAGCTTCTTGAACATCTCCAGCGACGGGGAGCTCACTCCACTGCTGTCTGGATATGGGTGCTCAATAAAGGGGGACTGTAGGCGGCCAGGGGTAAAACCATGAAGGCATGGGGTCAGGCTGCAGAAACAAGGACGAACAGACCACAGTGGCTAACGGTTCATCTTCCTCACAGCTAATGTTTATGGAAGCGTGGTTCTCAGTGCTCCACCCTCAACTGACCGCAGAGGACCAGGTGCGGTAGCTAGTGAGCAGAACAGTTGCACAGGTCACGCACTGTGCCAGTCACTCCCTACGCACGACCTCCTCTGGTCCCTGCCACAGCCTGCAGCAGCAGCATTATTATTCCTCCTTTGCAGACGAGGGATGGCAGCCTGGGGAGGTGAGGGCCAGCGTAGCAGAACCACGATGGAAGCTCAGACCCGTCTGACCCCAGGGGCACGTTTGGCCGTCCAGCTCAGCCCTGGAGGGAAGACTCCGCTGGATTTGGAGACAGTTGCCTGGCTGAGGCAGGTGGTGGCGAGAAGGTGGGGCTCGGACGGCTGGGCTGGGAGATGCTGGTTGCACCACGAGCCTGGTCTCTGAGCCCCACGCCCCTCTGCAGAGAGGCATGCTGTCACCAAGGAGGAGCAGATTTTTGGAAAAACATCGCTGAAACAAAACAATGAATTCACAAAGAAAATGACAATTACATACACCGCCCTGGGGCACCTGGTGTTAAGCCACAGATGAACAAGGTCCAGTCCCAAACTCAGCTGTCTAGTCACTGTGTACCTACTGTGTGCTGGGTGCTGTGGGAGGTACTGGAGATTCAGAAGGGACAAGGCCTGGCCCACAGAGAGGGAGGTTGGCATGGGGAGAGGTGGTCAAGGCCGCAAACCGCCACAGGGCAAATCAAAAGCAAGTGTCACGAGAGTGATGTGGACTGTGGGCTGAGGCTGGGATGGGGGGACCCTGGAGGGCTTCTTGGAGGAGAGGGCTTTTTCAGTCCTCTTGGTCTGGCCCATCCAGAGAGGCAGAGAGGGCCAGACAGGAGCGGAGATGCACCTGTGGGGTCAAAGCGACAACAGCCTGGGAGGGATGGGATAACACAGATGCTGGCAATGGGGAGCGACCTCGCCAGGCCCCACGGACGCACCGGACATAGAAGGAGCAGGGGGAGGAGCAGAATCTGCAGTTACGGCCATTCCAGCCACAGGCATGTGGGTTTGCCTCCCACTCAGGGCCACCGGGCAGGCAGAGGGTCAGGTGTGAACGTCTGCATCCTGAACGCTGAGGGTCTGCCGGCAGATACAGATCTCCAAATGAGGCCCGGGTATTCCTCCCTGGGTAACCCGCTGAAGCCGGGAGCCCGGGAGCAGCCAGGCCTCTGCTCGCTTGTCCTGCAGGGAAGCCCCCACGCCCGCCCGCCCACCAGCAGCTCAGCCCAAGTGCGGACACCACAACCAAACTTTCACTGTCTCACCTTAAAAATGCGCTGGGCCAGCAAGGGTCTCTAGACCCTGGAGACGACCGCCGGTGTAAGAAACACCGAGCAGGGACTTCTGATTAAATAAGGCTAATACAGGAGCAAAAGGGACATTTCAAAAACCTTACCATCAATACCCTCGGGGAGATAAAAAATATATATATATACTGTTCCCCACAAAACTGGAACAGAATTCCATAAAACAGAGATGACCCCACCATAAACAAGAGCTCTGAGAAATTAATACTAGAATAGCAGTATTACAAAATCGAGTGGAAAGTTGTGCAAATAAAGTTGAAGAAATATCCCCAAAAAATAAGACAAGAAAAGACACGGTCAGTAGGAAATCAAGAGTATAAAGTCTGGAATATCAGTGCATGAGGTCCAACATGGAACTGAGACGAGTGCCCGATGGAACGGGGCGGGGTGGGGGCGGGAAACACGACAGAGCAGATGACAAGCATTGCAGACGGAACGGCTTACTGGTGGCCCGCGAGAACGGAAGCCAAGGACCCGCCAAGGCGTGTCGTCGGGCAATTTCCCAGTGTCAGGAGTAAGGAAGGGCCTGAGAAGCTTCCGAGGGAAGTCACGTGCAGTCACGTCCAAAGGCTCAGGAATGAAAATGGCTCTCTGTACGCTCCAGGCTGACCCACATTCCCCCAAAACCCATATGGGCAAGTCCTCACCGTGACACCTCGAATGCGATGAGATTTGGGGACAGGGTCAATACTGACATCTCTAGTTAAGATGAGGTCACGCTGTAGCAGAGCGGGCCCCGAATCCAACAGGACAGATGTCCTCGTAAAAACTGGACACGGGCCCGCGCACAAGGAGATGCCACGTGAGGGTGAGGACAGACTTCGGGGTGATGACAGCTGAGCAAGGCCAAGGAGCACCAGAAACCTCCAGGGGCAAGGAGACAGGTGTGGAATGCATTGGCCCCCCGCCCCCAGAAGGAGCCCGCCATGGTCTTGGAGTTGCTGCCTCCAGAAGTGGGAGACAGAAGACTTTTGTGCAAGGCCCCGTTCGGTGGCGCTACCTCGTGGCAGCCCAAGAAGACTGAGTCATAGCCGCCGGAGGACGCTGGGAGAGTGGCGCGAAGCCCCCAAACTGGCCCCCAGCCTCAAATTCTCAGCCAGCCCACGACCAGTCGAGCGGGGAGGAAAAATAAATACACTCAGCCGTGCGTGATCTCCATCTGCCACGCACCTTTTCTCAGAAACCCGCTGGAGGACGCTCTGTCCCTGAAATGAAGGAGCAAATGAAAAAAGAGAAAGACGGGCCCTAGGAGGTGCGGAAGACAAGGAGTGCGAGGCAAAGGGGTGTCCCTGAGTGACGCTGTGAGGCAGGAACGGAAGGAATGTCACCGGAGGGAAAATCAAAAGCTGATGGATCACGGGGGAGTACCACCAAGAGGGACTGCACGGAACCCGCGGATGTTTGGAAGGAATTTCTGGTAGATGCACAGAACGCTAAGCCAGTCCATCCCTGGACAATTACGTCTCAGTGCCTTCCTTGGGTCGGGCACCGTTTTCAGCTCCGGGAACACGGCAGCGAGGTCGGCAGATAAACTCACCTTTGTGGGTTTACCTTCTAGTGCAGGAAATCACACCAGAGCGGAAATTGGGCCGCCTCTGGAAGTAAAGCGGGAACGGGGTGCTGGGGGAGGATGGGGGCTCCACTCCAGCCAGAGCAGCCAGGGAAGGCCTGACCGAGAGGGGCCTGGACGGGGTGAGGGAGGAGGTCTGCGGCGTCTGGGGAAACCGAGGCAGAGTCAGTGTGAAGATGCCCAAGGACGGGCAGGTCGCCGGCGCGCCTGTGTGCGGGAGGGAGCCGAACCCGGGAAGGAGCTCACACCCCAGGAGCAACCTGGTCTAACCACCGTGCCGCGGAATCACTCCACCTGCTTGCTGAAACAGGGAAGAGCGGTGGACGCGCAGGGACCCAGCACGGGGCGCGTCCTGAGCACCGGGTGGGAGCCCATGGTGGTTTGGACCACGGCGGCAGTGGCTGAGGGAGGCGGTGGGAAGCAGGAAGAATGCAGCCGCCACCCCCTTCCCACGGCCGCCCCGTGCAGACCCCGGGGAGGAAGTGCAGGAGCTCGGGCTTGGCTCAGACCACGCATCACCGCCACGCGACACGTGGCCACGGCGCTTGCTCGCCCCTGCTGGACGCGTGGTTCCCACCGCTGCTCTGGAATCAATGCTTGGATACGTGTTTACTTGGACACTCGCTCTTTCCTCTACACGCCGCACGCCAGGACGTGCATTCCTGAAAGACGCACTATTTTTTTCTGTAATACTGTGCTTTTCCGAGGCGATAATGTTTCAGCTAGCAGACAGTTCCACAGAAAAAACGCTCCCGAACCGTCTGATAGAAAATGCTGGTACGGGGCGCCTGGGTGGCTCAGTCGTTAAGCGTCTGCCTTCGGCTCAGGTCATGGTCCCGGGGTCCTGGGATCGAGCCCCACATCGGGCTCCCTGCTCGGCGGGAAGCCTGCTTCTCCCTCTCCCACTCCCCCTGCTTGTGTTCCCTCTCTCTCAAATAAATAAATAAAATCTTTAAAAAAAAAAATGCTGTTACAAATTACACCCTCGTTACGATGGAAGGATGATCTGTGGGTTCGGGTGTATTGTTTTAAACCACTTCTTTCCCTTAAAGACACACACCTGTGACTCAGCGATCTCGCCGCAGTAAAAACACACAACGGCTCTCCTCCTCCCGGTTCTGTTGACCAGCGTCTGTGTCCCTTTCAATAGTTTGTGTTTTACTCTCTCATTTTACTTTTTCTTTACTTAAAACCAGGATGAGTGGTTCTGTCCCGTGTAGATTTTAACGCAGCTGCTGAAGGTTGCAGGAAGAAAACCCCACCGGTGAAGCCGAAACTGAAAACCGAGAGCTGATCTTTGTGAACCTTCTGAGTGGATGTATTTTCAAATTGGCAATCGGAAAAATGATAAAATTAGCTGGAATCATACAGTGCGATGGGGGGGAGCAAGTTTGGCAGATTATTGTAATTCTAATTTTATTTTCCTTGTGGTGGGCTCGCAGGATGGGAGGTTGGGGACGCAGGCACGAAGCCGCTCTTTCCGTCTGGTGCCTCAGACTCTCATGCCCCGAATGCTGTGGGTTCGCAGAGATCCTAAATAGCCGGCTTCTGGGTCTTTGTGCCAAAGCTACATGGGAATTAGGACTTCATGATGTTGAGGAATACCTGCTGGAGAACTGTGTCTGCAGACCACCCGAGACCTCCCGTGACCTCCCAAACGCAGTGGCGCCCGTCCATCTTCATCCTAAAAGAATGGGTCCTGGACTTGGGACCTCGCTGCTGTCATTGACCCCGTTCTTGGCAGCGTGGACAGGACTTCCCCAGCTCCCCCGAGGGTGTCAGTCTCGAATAGTTTGAAAGCCGGGACTCTCGTACCGAAGGGGTAAAATATTCTTTGGGAGACAACTGAGCAACGGAAAGACAAGAGTGGACATGGAGACCCAGGTCTCTGGTCTACAAGGCCGTGGGACCAATGGGGGGCTCACCTGGGAGAAGCTCAGGCCAATCCCCTCACCCTGACCAGGCCCTGGACACTGCTGCTGACCTCCGCCATCCAGCAGCTAACGCGGATGCTGAGCCATCCTGAGCTCAGGGACGTTCCTCTCCATCCAGAGTCAGTCCCTGTGTCCCTGACACCGTCCACCTGGTACCCAGCCCCACACAAACAGCGCCGTGCTCAGCTAGTCCTCCCCAGCTGTGGTAACAAATGTCCACAAAAGAAGTGGCTTAAAACAACACAACATTTACCATCTCACAGTCTTGGGGTTCAGACGTCCAAAATGGGCCTCACTGGGCTGTAATCAAGATGTTGGCAGGGCTGGGTTCCTTCCAGGAGGTTCTAGGGGTGAGTCCGTCTTCTGGGGAGCATCCACGTCCCTCGGCACGCGTGGCCCCTTCCCCCACCTTCCCGGCCGGCAGCGTCTGGTGGAGTCCCTCTCTCTGGTCCCCTCCTCCACTCTGCAGGCCCCTCGTGGTTCTGAAGACCCACCAGACACTCCAGGGTCATCTCCCCATGTCAGGGTCAGCTGATTTCACTCCTCCTCAGCCGTGGGGGCCCGGCCCCCAAGGCAGCGGCAGACCCAGACGTGGAGCTGGGGAGGAGGGTTTCCGGCGGCCGGTCCTTGAGCTGTCACTGGTACAGAGACGCTGTCGGACCAGCTCCTCATCCAGGAGCCCGGCAAAGGGATTCACTGTGAACCAAGAAAAGCAAGATGGGGACCAGCGCCTGGAACGGTAAATGCAGAGAGCAAAGGCATGGGGGGCGTTCGAACCCCCCAGAGCCTGTCCCTTCCTCTGCACGGTCAGGGCAAACCTCAGACTCTTATGTATGCTTGGACCCCGTCTCCTCCACGCCCACGCGGGGGCCTTCCCAGCACGGCAGACCGGGGGCAGGGCTCCGCACCTCTGTTCTGTTGGCGGTGCTCATCCTCGTCGCTGACTTGGTTGCCCCCACCGACGAGAGCCTCAGCCTCCTCATCTCGTCTGAAAACCGGGATGATGATAATCCCCACACACATGCACACACACACACGTGCACGCCTCCCCCTCCCCCTCTGATTCCCTGGCGCCCTCTGCCTGCAAGTGCGGCTGAGACATGTGCACCCCACGTGGGACCCGCTCTGGCCGGCGCCCCCTCCCCGCTCCGAGGCCTAGCTGCTCCGCACCCCGCCACCCTCCAGCGTGTGCATCCTGAGTCTGAAACGGAGCCGCTCAGCACTCAGGGGTGGCCAGTGTCTTGCGCCTCTGATTCGGCACAAGACCACCCTCTCCTCCAGGGAAGCCACGCGAGGCAGGAGCCTGAGCAAGCCCCTCACTGGACTGGGACCTCCAGTGAGGTCGGGAAACAGTCTGCCTCCCGCTCACCTCCCTACACTCAGGCCCGAGGACCTGGAACGTTGTAAGCAAGCTCTCAGTCATGAACCCATGAATCAACTCATCGCCCGTGGCAGGCCTGCGAAACTTCTATTCTCGTCCCTGCAGGGAGGGAGCGGCTGACAAGGGCCCCCCGTTCCAGCGAGGACAGCCGCTGACCACCGTGCGGCCAGCTCTGAGTCCCTGGGCCCTGAGTCCTTTCAGGAAATGACTCACGCAGGCAGGGATGTGATCGCTGAAGACGGGATGTGTCCCCACTCTGCTCCAGACCTGCTGCTGGGCCCCGACCACAGGGCCTCACACCTGCTTCTGTGGAAGCTCACATACTGGGGCGGGGGCGGTGGAGAGGGGGGTGGGGGCTGTGCTCACCGGGCACAACCCTGGACCTCCTCGGTCACAGCCGCCGACAAGCGATGGGAAAGGTTTTGACAGAAGGCTCCAGAAGGGCGTCCTAAGCGCACACAACAGGGCCTCACTGCAGTCCAGAGCCTAACCCGCAAGAAGGAAGAGCCTCCTGGCCTCAGGTAAGCAGGGAGCCAAGCATGTTCTAAGTAGTTCCCACGAGCACAGAAGTGGATTCTTGTAAACGGGAGGAAGGTATCCACGTTCTGGTCTCAGATGCTTTGCCTCCACCCGCAAGGGCTGCACCCGAATTACCCAGCGGCACGCGAGTCTGACTGCAGAGGGGACTCCCGTTCTCCCGCGTCATCACGGTCCGACCTCACGCCAGGGAAGCATCGTCCTCCTCGAGCACGACTTTGACCCTACAGATCGCGGGCCTGGTCATGGAGTGCTCGGGAGCACCGACCCCGCGGAGCCGCCCGTGAGTCGTCATGGAGTGGCCTGAGGCTACCCCGAGCAACCACTTTCTGCTACCGGCCCCCGGCCCCCGACACCAGGGCCAGCCCTCTGTTTGTCCCCCAGACGTCTTCCAACAAGCGACTCATGTCCAGCCCTCCGCCCTCGGGACACAGGGCACCGTCGGCTGCCACGTAGGAAGGCGGGGGGGGGGGGGGCCATGCCCAGAGCGGCCCGGCTCTGCCACTGCGCTCCACAGGCCGGACTCAGGCCCGCGGGCGTCCGTCTAGCGTCACACAAGCTTCCCTCCACCCCAGCGGCAGGTTCCCGAGCCGCGTTCATGGCCCCCGGAGTCGCCGAGACCACCTGCTCGCCCTGCGCCGTGGCCCACCCCGTGAGAGCTGGTCCCTAAATCTCCAGCTAACCGCCACCCCCCTCCGGCAGCCTTCCTGGGAAGCTGGCTTCTGCACAACCCCAGAAATCGGTTCCCACTGCGGGCAGCTGATCTTAAATTAGCCGGAACGAGGCGTGGCGGGGAGGAAGCGGTCGGAGAGACGGCTGATGGCTTCACGGGATCTGAGGGGCCTCTTCTCCGCTGCCGCCGCTGCAAGCCTCCCCTCCCTCCTCCCATTTGGACTCGGGGGCGTCTGCAAGCCCAGAGCTGGGGCCTGGGGATGTGGGCCCAGGAACCGGCAGGGCGGCCCGTAGGGCAGCCGGAGATGCCAAGTCCTGGGAAAAGAAGAGGCATGTCTGGGAGACAAAAGCAAAACTGTCAGCAGATGAATACGAAGTTTCCGGATCAGGGTCACTTTCCTTGCTCCCAATGCCCCACAGGGGTCCCGAAAAGCCCTGCGAAGGAGGTGAAGACTCGGGGTCGGCCGTTTGCGGTATTGAATACGGAAAGGGCCGTTCACACGGGCACAAATATGCAGGAGGCTGCCCGAGGCCACAGATCCCTCCTCCCACGCAGGCGGAGCTGCCGGGCTCAAGCGGGCTGAGGAAGTTCGCGCTCGCCCAGAGCCCGAATCCAGAAGCGCCTAAACACGGGCTCGCAGGCCGCACATGGGGGGCCGGGGCGGCTGGGGTGTGACCCCGGTGCGTGAGGAGGTGACCCCGGGCCCCCGGCACACGGGGCAGTCGTAATAACGAGCGAGCCCATCGGCTGGGGTTCGGCCGGGGTCCCAAAGCGCCGTCCGTGTGGGGACCTTGGGGAAAGTTTCTCCAGGGGCCTTGCCGGAGGTGCGGGCAGGACGCAGTGAACCCGTGGGGGCTGGCCCCCCAGACCGCAGCTGTCAGGGGCCCGCACCAGCCCCAGAACGAGGGGGTCGTGGTTACCGAAGCCCCAAGTACAGTGGGTCGGCGGGAGCACGGAGTGGAGGTCGGAGGTCACAGCGGGAGAGCCGCAGAGACGCCTGCCCGCCCGCGTCCTGTGCCGGAGTCCCGGCCACGCGTGGGTTCCCAGGGGGGACCCCAGGCTCCAGCAGTGCCCTGGGGCCAGTCTGCAGGGGTGACCACGCCCTCGTCCGGGCTTACCCACCGCCCCAGCCCGGCCACCCGGCCAGGAGGAGCTTCCGCTGGATGAGACACGGACCCGGGGGCCCCGGCATCACTGGTCGGCAGTCGCTCCCGGTGTGGCCCTGGCCAGTGTCAGATGTGGACATCATCAGGCCCTGCCCTCACACGCTGACTTCTCCAGGCCCGCTGTGTGGAAACGCAGGGCCAGCAGCAGCCAATATGGCAACCGAGCAAATTAGGAAAAGCTGTGCCTTCCTCGAGACACTTCCCTGCCATCTGCTGGGCACTTGCGGTGACTACAAGTACCTAAGAGGACGAGGATGTAAACAGGGGCCCCTGGATTGTGCAGTGCACAACGTGCACAACTGTGAAGGGCAGCCCGGTGGCCTTTCACAGAGCCCCATCACAACCGAACGATGGTGATGATAGGTCTGTTGTCTGTCTCCCTGGGCCCCACCACCCACGCCCGCCAGCAAAGGCCACCAGGAGGGCGCCTCGGCTTGAACACACTAGGCTTACGCACTAACACAGTGAGAGATCAGAGAAGAGAACACACTGTCAGATCGTGCTCATATGAAGCTCGGGAAGGAGTCTAATTTGTAGTGTGTGGGACTGGAGCGGGACGGGGTGCGGGGCCCTCCTTCCCTCCCTCCCGGGGCGCCCGGTCAGTGTCGGCAAGTGTCCCCGTCCCTGGTTCTGTCCATGACTACCGCAGCCACCTCGGATACGCCCCTCCTCGTCTGCGAGCCTCAGTTTCTCCATCCACAAAACAAGGGCTTGGGCTGACCACTTCTGAGGGTCCTTGCGTGTGAGGACTGAGATGTTTCCCGTGAACAAATGCTCCAGCTCGGCCGATGCGCCTGAGCCCCCGTCCGCGGCGGGCATTGTCCTCACAGCTGCACGGCGCCCACCCAAACAGGCAGAGGGCACCGCCCGCCCGAGATCGACACCGTCCGCAGAGGCCGCTGGGGAGAGACCGGGGCCCCAGTCGTCCTCCGACGGGGTCTTTATTGGAGGCGAGAGGCAGAGCGAGAGTCTTTGCTCATCAGATTCTCGGCGGACGAGGACCTGAAGTCAGGAGCCCTGCACACGGGCAGTGGCCATCACGAAGACAAGGCTTTGCCTGACCTTCCAGGGGCGCCCGCAGCGGGCAGGGTCGGGGAAGGAGGCCCCCCAGACCGCGCGGGCGAGGCGCTCACTACGGCCCCCCGCGCTTGGACCATCCGGTGCAGGTGAGACTGGAGACCGTCTTTCCCCAAAGATGCCCGTGGCCTAATCCCCAGAACCCGTGAACAGGTCCCCTGTTGAGGCAGAGGGACCTGCCGTGTGACCCAGCTAAGGGCGCTGCGCGGGGAGACCACGCTGGGTGGCCAGCAGGCCAGCGCATTCACAAGGGTGCTGGCAGGAGGGAGGCCGGAGGCGCAGACAGGCCGGGGGACCCGATGGCCGCCTGTGGGGTGCACAGAGGCGGGAAGGCGTCTGCCACCGGCTTGAACACGGGGGCCTCCGGCCCGGATGTTTGGGGGCCTCCAGAAGCTGCAGATGGCGGGGAAGCCAGCGTAGGGGCCAGAGGCCAGGGTGGGGCGGCCGCGTGCTGTAGGGGCCCGGGTCAGCCCCCCCCACCCCGCACTAGCCAGATGGGGTATGAGATGCCATGGTTCCTGAACAGTGTCCTGTTGTCCCGCCTTGGCCTTTGGATGGTAGTAACAATAGGACGAGGTGAGCCTGCTCTCTCTCTCTCTCTCTCTCTCATGCACACACACACACACACGCACACCGGTAAGAAGCGTGCCTGGCAGGGCAGACATCACCGGGGAGAAGTGCAGGGAGGCTCAGAGAGCGGGGCCTCCAGGGGGAGAGGCCGTTCATGCCTGAGGCTGTCACAGGCACAGGACCCTTGTGTCCACCATAAAAAAAGTCAGGCGGAAAGGCTGGGGGCCGGCGGGGCTGGGAGAGAGCGGACCTAGAAAGACGTGAGTGGAAATGTGGCTGATCTTAATCCGCTGGATGGTGTGGCCGGAGGAACCCCAGTGGACCCTGTGACGAGGGGAGGGGTCTCCAGCTGCGCGGGTCCATCCCTGCCTGGAGCACTAACACCAGAACCGCCCTCGGTGTCCCCACCCTGCCCCCTTCTCTCTTGGTCTTGCAAAGGTCCTGGGGCATCGGGAGGGGAGATGCTCACAGGGGACCAGGCAGGGTCATGGAACACATTCGGGCATCAGCCCTGCTGGGGGGACTTCAGATGGGGGGAGGTCCTCGGGGACCCCAGAAAAGAGGACAGCTGGAGGGAAGGCACACACAGGAAACGGGAAGGACCACGGGGGTGGGAGTCCTCAGGCCGTAGCTCCTGGTCCTCAGACAGGCTCTGCATCTGCCTCTGAGCCACACTGGAACCTCTGCTCGCCCAGCCTCGCAGGGCCGTCGGGAGGCAGGTGACCGTCCCACGCCAGCTTCCCCAGCTCACAGCGTCCCCTTGCTCTGACCTCCTCCCCTCGGGCCTTGCTGGCCTTCCTCCCGGGTGGCCCTTAGCCGTGAGCAGAGCCCGCCAAACATCAACCCTCTTTCCTCCGCGGTGGGAGGACTGACACCTCAAAACTCCTGGTGCCTGAAGGGGGGAAGGAGAGAGAAAAGAAAACAGCACAACGTGCGTGGCCACTGCCGCCACCAGGAACAGCCTCGTTCTGGTGGCCCTGGGGGCTGTGGATTTGGAACCATAGAAAAAGAACTGTGATCACAGTGCCACGTGGGGCCTGTGGGGAAACTTACACTGTTTATTGGTTTTTTCCTTTTAGAGTCAGCCCTCGGACAAAGCACAAAAGAATTTTGGCTACAGACGGAGCCTGTGTGTTAACCGCGGGGAGACAGGGCGAAGTAAAGTTCCAGCGGTCGCCCTGCGCAGAAGAGAGTGGTGGGGACTCGAGAGAGCGTTCTAGAGGAAATCTATAAAGCTACAAAAATAACCAAGGAGAGGCAGGGGAGGCAAAGGAGGACAAGGGAAGCAGGGGAGGCCAGGGAGGTCAGAGGAAGCAGGGGAGGCCAGGGGTTGCCAGGGGAGGCAAGGAGAGGCAGGGAGGCCAGGGGAGGCCAGAGGAAGCTGGGGAGACTAGGGGAGGTCAGGGAGGCAGGGAGGCCAGGGGAGGCCAGGGGAGGCCGGGGAGGCCAGGGAAGCAGGGGAGGCAGGGGAGGCCAGGGGAGGCAGGGGAGGCAGGGCAGGCAGGGGAGGCCAGGGGAGGCAGGGGAGGCAGGGCAGGCAGGGGAGACAGGGGAGGCCAGGGGTTGCCAGAGGAGGCAGGGGAGGCCAGGGAGGCCAGAGGAAGCTGGGGAGACTAGGGGAGGTCAGGGAGGCAGGGAGGCCAGGGGAGGCAGGGGAGGCAGGGGAGGCCAGGGGAGGCAAGGGAGGCAGGGCAGGCAGGGGAGGCAGGGCAGGCAGGGGAGGCCAGGGGAGGCAGGGGAGGCAGGGGAGGCAGGGCAGGCAGGGGAGGCCAGGGGAGGCAGGGGAGGCAGGGCAGGCCAGGGGAGGCCCATTCTGCACCCTAGCCCAGCATGTTCCGGCATCGGAGCCGCTCTTCCTCCCGCTTCTCCTCCATGCGATTTTCCAAAAGCCTCAGCTCCCTGCGCACTGCCTTCCCCATGGATGGCTCCAGCTCCAGCACTTTCTGGAGGTCCGCCCTGGCCTCCGCCTCATTCCACACCTCCGCGTGAGCCCGGGCCCGCACGTAGTAGGCCTTTGCGATCCCTGAGGGGAGGATCAGACTGCACCAGCTGAGCCCCTTGGAGGCACGGCCTCAGAAGCTCACAAAACTCTTAACCTTGACCATGATCCTTAACCTCTCTGTGCCCCCTGAGCCGCCTCCTCGGCTGTAAATGGAGGTGATAACAGCCACAGCAGGACCTACTCCCCTCCCTGTGGGGACCCTGCCAGGGCCGCGGAGCAAACCTAAATCCATAACTTCCCTCCGGTTACGTAGGCTCCCTGCATTGCGGGCTCCAGGCCCCCGTCCCCGGCACCGAAGGAGGTGAGGAGTGCAGGGAACCCCCGTGCCTGGCTCCTGGCACACAGCCGGAGTGCGGCCCCCCGCCCCCCGGGCGCGCACCTGGGTGGAGCCGCAGGATGTCGCTGGTATGCTCTAGCACCTCGTAGTACTCCTCCTTCTTCAGCAGACACTGACAGTAGTTCACGATCAGGGTGTTGGTCATTTTCTCCAGCTTCAGCCACTGCACCTCCCAGGGCTTCTCCTGCAGGGGTGGGGGGGCACGCCTGCCTGCCGTGAGCTGGGCCGCCCTGCTAACCCTAACCCTGCCCCCCGGCCTGCGCCGGCCCCGTGGGCAGCCCCCTACCTTGGTCTGCAGGTTCCTCAGGCAGACGATGGCCTCCTGGTACTTGCTGGAGGCTTCCTCGTAGCGGCCCAGCTTGAAGAGGCGGTTCCCCTCCCCGTGGAGGAGGGGCACCACCTGCATCTTCTCCTCGTTGTTCAGGCTCCACGTCTCCCTCTGGTACTCACTCGGGGCCTCGACCTGGCCCGAGAGCGGCAGGCGGGTGAGGCGGGGACCCCGGGAACCTGTGTCCCCGCAGCTGGCCACATCCATATACAAAGGGGACAGAAGCCACGGGGCCCCGCCTTAAATGAGCACCTTTGTGCAAGTTAGGAATAGACAGCCCTTTGTCAACACTTGACTTCCAATATTCAGAAGACTGTCTCCATACTCATTTGGCTAGAACAAGACACTTTACTGCCATCTGCTGGAAAACTGTCATCAGAAAAGTTCAGATCTACAAGGTCTATAATGAGCACCTCAGAGGTGAGGCCCTTGTGCAGTGCACAAACCGCACAACTGTCCTAGCAGGCCCACAAAGGCCCTTTTGTGACACAATCCTCTTATTTGTTCCCCCATGTAGCCCTTGGGCTGAACCTCATCCTTGGCCATAAGCTGAGTCCCCACACGGGCTGGACCTTCTCCCACCACCCCACAAACATGGCTGTGGTTCACGAGCCCTCTCGTGCTCTAGAGAGAAAGCGGGTGACGCCCAGCGACCAGCGAGGCGGGGCTCCCCGCACGCTCCCTGAGGCTGGGACAGCGCTCCGCCCGCCCCATCCCCAGGGCACACCTGCAACAGCTCGATCACGAAGATCAGAGGCTGCGGCTCCTTCTGCAGCTCGTCCAGGTCCTCGTAGCCCAGTGTGTGGTAGGCGAACATGTTGGCCAGCCCACACGTGTGTACGTGCCACTCCGTGGGGTCCTTGCCCTCCGCCACCTGCCGCAGGCTCCGGGACAGGATGGGGTAGACCCCTGTGTGCTGGGAGGAAGGACGGCCGATGGCATCTGGCCTGTGTGCTCGGAGCTAGCCGGGCCACACGGAGCCCCGCTCTGAGTCCTGCCTCAGCCACCCCTGTCCCATGGTTGTTCCTGCTGATTGCACGCGCTGCGCCGTGTTCCAGGCCGACTGCTCTACCAGGTCCTTCTGTTAGCTCCTTCCATCCTTCAGATGCCCCAGAGAGGGAGGCACTTATCCCCCTTCTGTAGGTGGGGACACTGGAGCCCAGAGACATTAAGTAACTTGCTTAAGGTCACACAGCTAGGAAATGACGGAGCCGGGATTCATGCCCGGCTCCAGAGGACACGCTCTCATCTCAGGGCCATGCTGCCTCTTGCTGGCCCTTGTGGTCAGCCCTGACCTATTTCTCTCCCGGAGAGACCTGAGCCCGTGGGTCGGTGACCTGCAGGGAGGGAAGTGTGGGGAGTCGGGGAGGGAGCAGGCCCCAGGGGCCAGGGGCCAGGGGCCGGATCGGCAGCCCCAAGGTGCTGCTGAATAGCAGTGAGCCTGGGCACCTGTCTGAGCTCCGGTCCCCTCGGCCGTACCTGTGGTCGTGGAGCTGGGTTCGTGGGTTAGAGGTGGACTGGTAGAGGCCCAGCTCATCCCAGCCTCCCCCTGCACCGGGCTCAGGGCTTGCCGCCCTCGGGGTGGAGGAGGGCTGGGAAAACCAGCCCCTTGGGCCTCAGCTTGCCCATCTGTGAGCTGTCTCTGAGAGCCCCCCTCTGCGTGGACGGGGTTCAGAAACGGCCCGTCTCAGGCACCCTCACGGCAGCTCCAGGACCTGAAGGGGCGGAAACAGTTCAGCTTGTCCTCCAAGTCACCAGTGCGGGGATGAAGGTCAGGCCTCCCAGCCTCCCCCCAACCCCCTGCAGCTGGGATTAGCCCAGAAAGCCCTGCGGAGGCTCCTCTGTGAGAGAGGCCGCCAGCTGGTAGTTAATCCCGCCGGGATCCAGGCTGACCGGCAGGGAGAGGCCCAGCTGCAACTGGCCGAGGGAGAGGCCACTCCTGGCCCTACACGTGGCCCCAGCTCCCAGGCCCCGTGTCCCCGGCAAGTGCACTGAGCAATCGGGCCCCAAGGCCGGGTGGCTGCCTGGGCAGGACCTCGGGTAAAGACTTGTCCCATGAGACACCCACACCCTCGCTCTAGTAGAGCTCAGGGCAGCACGGTGGGCTGGGGGTGCCACCAGGAGCCCAAAAAAATCCAGGAAGGAGGAGGAAGGCCAGAAGAAGGTCCCGAGTCCTGTGCCCAGCCGGGTGGCACCTCCTTGGAGGGAGGGAGCAAGGAGGACTCCAGACTGTGTCAGTCTGGAGGCCAGCTTGCCCGGCTGGGGGCCGCAGAGCGGCCAGAACCACACGTGGGGCTCTGTGGAGCTCGCCTCCAGCGCTGGGGACGGAGACCAGGCCTGTGGCCGAGGCAGGGGGCCCCGGGACCCCCACACCGAGTGTCCTGTCTGCAGGGCTGTCTACACCGGAGGCTGCAAGCTGGTGAGCCATGGGCCAAATTCAGCTCGCAGATTGGTTTTGTCTTACTCCTCACCTCGTGGAGCCGTTATGACTAGTTCACCAACATTCAGATGTTGAGGGAGCTCTCATGCTCATGAAGACTTCCAGCTCAGCTTAAGAACTCAGAACGGCCAGCCGCCGGGGCTGCCCCTTTCACAAGGCGACCATCCAGTCGGAGCTGAGGACTGGCTGCCCCATTTGGATGAGGCAGATGATCTGCAGTCAGCCAGAGCTCCTGGCTCCTCGAGGAATCTGAGTTTGCAACCCGTGGCCTCACAATCCCGGGCACCATCGCAAAAGTCCCACACAGAGACCAGCGTCCTGTCGAGGGTGGGGGCGTGGCAGAAGCTCCCAGCTCCTCACTGGCCCTGCCTCCCTGGTGTAGGGGCAGGGGAGGGAGGGAGAAAGCCCCCTGCTCTTCAGTCCTCCAATGAGGACTGTCCAGGAGGAGGGCTCTGCAGGGAGTGATGAGCAGCACTGCTGGGGGAAAGCCAAGCCCTCCTAAGTCCTCTGTCGAACAAAATGATCATCCCACTGACTGCTGCCGTCTTTCTAAAACTCAGATTCTTAAATGGAGAGATGCCCCCGGAGGGGAAAGGGGCTAAGCAAATTAAGCATGCCAAACCTTTTCACACTTCCTGGCCTGGATGCCACCCGCTCCCTACGTGCAGACCTGGTGAACTCCTATGCATCCTTCAATACCCAGTTCGATGTCATCTTGGAGATGTTCCCCCAAGACCCTAAAGAATTAGTTGCCCATCTCCTGTGGCCCCGAAGCAGTCTGCCCCTCACTTGCTTACGTCATGGGACTGGCTGCCCTGCCTCAAAATTGCTCGAATGTTCACTCCTCCTCCAAGAACTGAGGTTCCTTGAGGGGCAGAACTTGGTCTGTTTCATTCCTAACACACAGCAGAGTCCAAAGCTGGTGCCCAGTGAACGTTTTCAGATAGATAGGCACAGACAGACCACGATGGGTGGATGCTTAGTGAGGTGGGCAGTGCCCTCCTGTGACTGTGGCCAAAAGGACGCAGACGGCACATGACACACAGCCGTGCTCACTTTAGGGGAAGCTCTGCAGACAACAAATCAATCAGCCAATCCAGGATTTATCGGCAACCCTCCGTGCACTCAGCTCTCCTGCGTTAGTGAACATGCATCCTATGGAGGCAGGGCCCTCGCTGGTGGCCAAGCCTTGTCTACCCTGCGGCCTGAATGACAGGTGCGCGTGGGTCTAAAACGTGCAGGGCATCCTCACTGTAAGCAAAGATATTACTTTAGATAGATATTTTAAACTATGTGAAGCCACAAAAAAGCCCATTTTCTGAAGACTTGGCTTGTTAAAAACAAAACACCTTTAACATCTTTCTAAGCACCAGGACGAAAAACAACACAGACGCCGGTAGGGCTCACCTGGTATTTGCCAGGTGAGTCAAGAAATAAGGGACAAGGCGGGCGGGCGCCCCTAGCGGTAGAGAACGGAACTGCAGCCTGGCTCCCCACTATGATGGGCAGCCGCCCCGGATGGGCAGTGAGGGGACCGGGGATCCCACCCTGACCGTGTCCCTTAACTTGTCTGACCCAGAGCAAGTCACTTTCCTTCTCTGCCTCTTACGCTTCCTCATCAGCAAAACGGGGGAGTCTGTCTCTGAAATTCTGCAAGCACTTTTCAATCTCCCGGTACTATGACTTTTCTTAGCCACCACCACGTCCTGTAATCCCCTCAACAGCCGCTTAGCGTACGGTTTCCCTTATTTATAGATGAACGAAATAGAGTGCCGGATAGAGAAAGGACTTCCCCGGGGCCACCCAGCCAAGTGACAGAGCAGAGCTCAAACTCAGATCTCTCTGTCTCTCTCTCCCAAATTGCTCCTTCGAAAGGTCAGCGGCGCCTGATGAAGGGATGGGTCTGAGCATCCGCCATCAACGGCTGGTGGGCCCATTAGGTGAAAGCCAAGGGGGAGCTTCGTAATGGCTGGATCGGGTTGGCGGCATCTCAACCTGTCAGCCGATCACGGTAACAAGACGCCTCCCGGCTGGAGAGGCCAGCAGACGGGGAAGGCTGCCTAGTGGGAAGCATGCAGCACAATTTCTAGAAACTGTGGGGACAGAGGAACATGGCAGACAATCCCATGGCAAAGCAACCAGCAAAATCAGAATGTGGGGACCTTCTGTAGGACAAGTGATCCAATTCCTTCAACAAATCCATGTCAAGGGAAAAACAGGGAAGGAAACAGAGCCCCGAGACACGCACCCACAAAGCCCTGTGCACAGATTTGTTTGGGTCCAGACTGGAACAAACCAACCACAAAGAGTAAATGAGGTGACGCCTGGAGAAATTTGAACAGTACCAGAGGGTAATTGGCGTGAAGGAATTATTGGGGTTTTAAAAAAATGTAATAATGATATTGAGGTGATGTTACTTTGATACCCTTTTTACAGATACAAATTTTAGTACTTTTAGATGTAACGGTAGGGAGTCTGGAGCGTGAATTAACCTTGCGGGATAAGGAAGAGCAGGGGACAGGGGTAGAGGAAGCCAGCCTGGCTGGGGTCCACGGTGGCTGGCATGGGGGGTGGGTGCGGAGGACTTCTCTGCACTTTCTGTCAACTTCTGTATATGTTTGAAAGTTTCCATAAGAAATGTTTGTTTGGGGCTCCTGGGTGGCTCAGTCGTCAAGCATCTGCCTTCGGCTCAGGTCATGATCCCAGGGTCCTGGGGTCGAATCCCACATCGGGCTCCCTGCTCACTGGGGAATCTGCTCCTCCTTCTACCCTCCCCCCAGCTTGGGCTTGTGCGCGCGCTCTCTCTCTCTCTCTCTCTCTCTCTCGCAAAAATAAATAAATAAAATATTTTTTAAAAAAGAAATGTTTGTTTAAATGTTCTGTGGCCCATTTCTATCTGGACCACAGAATGAGGAGGCAATCCCAGGAGGGCCACAGATTTGCAAATAGTTTTAGATGGCTCACGGAAGCCGGGAGGAGGGCGGGAAAGTGACCAGTGGCCAAAAGTGCCCAGGATCCGGTAATCGTGTGTGGGCACGGCCCTGGTGCCACGTCGTCCCGGCCAGCCACGACACCGACGGTCACTCTGGGGGCTTGTGGTTTTGGGTGACTCCCCTCCACGTGCCCAGTGGCAGAGGGAGAGGGTGCAGGGTTTTGCTTTCACCCCACTTGGCTGAAAGGCAGCAGCCCCGCAAAGGGGTGGACAAGCCCTGCAGGCGGCGTGGGCGGCATGGGCGGGCGTGGCCTACTTACGATGGAGTCACACCAGAACTCAGCCACCTCGCCTCGCCGCATGGACGTCAGCAGTACTTCCCAGACCTCGAGCTTGAACATGTTTCCGAGGATAATGTGCATGGGGTGGCCCACGCGCTTGCTGTCATCTATCACCGTCCGCTCCTCGTCGCATTTCATGGTGCGGAAGTGAAAGATCACCTGGTCAGCAAGAGGGGGGACGCTGGTCTTAAACACAACCTCCCACTGTCGCTCACGCGGCTGTCCTCGGGGCTCCACTCGCCCCACCCCTGCCAGATGCCCAGACCCCACAGCTACCCCCCCGCTGCCTGCACTCGCCGGGGCTGGGAAACCCCCCCTGCCCAGAGGACCCCGTCCCACTGCCTGGAAGCTCTGTGGGTCCGGAGGGCCTTGCTTACAGAAGCCCTGGATCTGGGGCCACAGACCCCGCCATGCCACCGTCATCCAGGGAAGCCCACCAGAGACTTGTGGACAAAACCGTGAACCCTGAGGGCCTCTCTTTTCAACTCAACATTTGGGGCTCCAGAAAATTCCCAAAGCCCTTCCCCCAGCCCACGCCAGAATTTAATTTGCCAGTATCGAAAACGTCCAGCGAGTGGGCACCAATTCCGAGTTTCCCAGAAGCTCAGGGGTTGATAATTCTGGGAAGGACCCTCCTGGCTCTGTTTTGGCAAAGCCGAAAGAGGCACAGCAGGAATGCAGAAGGCTGCCGTGGGGGGCCCCGTCTGGTACGGGGAGAGCAGGCCCACTCACCCGGGACCCCGTGATGAAGTTTGGGAGCTCCCCTGCGCCTCCATGCAGAATGGTTTTCTTGACCCCTTCCACGTTCAGGAGCAGAGCGGCATCCATGGCTCCCGGCCCAGGGAGGTGTCGGGCTCAGGCTGAGATAATCTCCCAGGAGGAAGACACCCAGACCCCGGGATTGGCCCTGCCCTGGGGGCGGGTGTGAGCCAGGAGTAAGCCGGGCGGCGCCTAGCGCCTGCTCCTCAGGGTGATGTGAGGCCCCCACCTGACACCCACCTTTGGTTTTCTCGCATCCCAAGAAGAAAGCAGCCGAGTGTTCTCAGAGAAGACGGAGAGAGGGTGTGGCAGGAAAGAGGCCTCAGGCCAGCCAAGGGGAACAGGACCCGGCGTCCGTGCCAAAGCCCTGTGGTCTCTACGGTCCCTGCCTTCCCTCTTGCCTCTTTCCTCCTCCTCTCCCCCCAAACTCTATGCAGGAGAGGATGTGATCCTGGGGGGTGGGGAAACCAGGTTTCTGGCCTGGGGGGCTCTAAAACGGGTAAGAGAAGGGGCAGGTTTGGGAAAAGTTAAGGGCGCCCCCCAGCCCCACTCCAGCCCCCACTCTAGGTCCTGGAGGTGGGGAGCAGGGCTCTCTCTTCCCCGTTGGAGGGTCTCATTCCTCATCCCTGTGCCCTGGGTCCCCGGGAGAACTCAGTCCCTGCACCTGGGATCCCCTTTCTGGCCTCCGTGACAGGTGGCCTGAAGATGTGGTGTCTGGCGCCACCTTGTGGCCAGTGGAAGCTGCTGTGCTCGGGCTCCCAGGGTCCTTCCTCTGGGTGACCCCAGACTGAGAGCGGGAAGGGACAGGGGCGCTGCAGAGAGGGGTGGAACACTGGATTGTCAGGAGCCACAGAGAGCCGCTGACCCCACCTCTCATTTCCTGACCTGCGGCCTTGGGTGTCTGCCACCCTCCTTAACTCCATTGTCCCCCCGAAACGTGAAGATCCATCTCCCCTGCCTCTCTCCCCTGGAGCAGCAAGTGGGACCCCAAACCCAGCCCCCCAAATTCTCCCACGAAGAACCACTGGCATAGAGGAGACCAAGCCTGAGCGCCCAAACCCAGACTGGGGCAGCTGGATCAGGCCCCTCCAGGCCCCGTCCCGGGGTGCTCAGACCCCCAAGGGCCCCGATCCAGCCCTCCCTGCAGGCAGGGTGTTCGGGTGCCGGGGTCCTGGGGTCCTTCTCCTCTGTCCCGCCCTTCCCTAGCCACACAGCAACCTAGAGGGGTCTGAACGCATAGGAAGCAAGACGGGAGGTCAGATGCTGAAAGTACAAAGGGAAATAAAAGTGATTACCATGAAAGTCGGGGGAGGGAGAGATGGAGGCAGGACTCAGGGGTGGGAGTGGGGGGCTGCTTCTGGGGTCCTGGCAATGCTGTCCCCTCCCCCCATGAGGGTGGTGTGGCTGTTGGCTTTGTATGTGTGCATCATGCTAGACGACTGATTTCTTGATGTAATCCGCGGTGGAAGAGAAAGCTGACTGATCGCTCTGCTCTAGAGGGTGGAGAGGGTCGAGAGGCATGGGGGACGGCGGGGTAGATCAGATAGATCTGAGCCCCCGGTAGGCAGGGGTGGGAGTGGGGTTGGGGGGTGCTTGTTGAAACGCAGGCCAGAAGAAGGAGGTGTTCAGGCCACAGCCTCCAGACGGGCCCCCAGACTAACCTCCTAAGGGACTTCAGGGAGAGGCAAGTCTAATAACCCCACCCCTCTTAAAACCCATCAAAGGCTTTCTGCCACTCTCAGGAATAGCCCAGGCTCCTTCCCCGCAGTGGATCAACCCCTGCCCCAGGCTGCCTGCCCCAGGGGGCGGGCCCTCAGTCCTCCCTCTGGCCTAGAAGCAGGTGGTGCCCAGGCCCCTACCCTGGCCTTGGCAGGCCCTTGTGTTGGAAAGCTTCGCCACCCCCCTCCACCCTGCACTTTGTCCCCTAGCTCCTCCCCTAAAACCCCCGCATGCCTGGGGGAGCCTGCGCGGTCCCCGCTCACATGGGGTTCCCCCCGCCCCTTCCTCCCCTTCCTCACCCCGAGCACGCCTCACTCGTGGCGTCTGGCACCGTGTTGTGTCTGCTTCTTCCAGCACCGACCATTCTAGGAGGTCACGGGAACTGGCAGGAAATTCTGCGGCTGGATAGGGAGCCCCGCCCAGGACAGGGCAGGGCTGGGGCCCCTCCTCCTCTCCTCCTCCACCCTCCTCTCCAAGAGAGGCACGGGTGGGGCTGGACCCCCCAAAGCCTCCGCCTGGGACTGGCTTTGTCTCCTTCCGCAGAGCCCCTGTCCCCTCCTGCAACCCCTCCACTAGGAGCCTGCCCCCCTCAGCACACCCCCTCTCCTTCCCCCGCCTGGCCTCTGAATGAGAGCCTCTCATTCAGAAGAAGACGTTTCTTCCTCCCCTCGTTGCCACAGACACTGCTGTCCCTTCACCCGGGCTGCCGGGGACGTTCTGAGGGAGGGGGCGCAAAGCCCCACGTGGGCAGGGGGCCCCGTCAAGCATCCCTCCATTCACGCCTGACCCTGGGGAGATCCCACGATCCACGACGGTTAAGCATTCGGGGTGGGAAGCCGGACACGCGAGGGTTTCTGTTCCAGCTCTGACTGCCCTCCGTGTTGGGCCAGACACGTCACCTTCCCAATCTGCGCTGCCATCCGAAATGGGAGTAAAAATAGCACCTCCTCTGTGGGCTTGGCCCGGGCTCAGGCTGGACGGATGCAGGCTGTCCTGTGATGGCCGGACACAGTGGGGACCAGCCCCTCGGAGCTCAGACTGTTTCCCCTTCACTGAGCCGCAGGTTAGTTTTCGGGAGAACAACGGGCGCTCGCTCCCCCCCCACCCCCGCGTCACTGGTGAAAGGCAGGAATCGAATCCCCTAAGTACCACCCGCAAGCCTGTCCCCAACAGGCCACAAGTCAGCCTCAGCGCGCGGAAGGTGGGGGGAAGGCAGAGCCCTGGTCAGGCGATGAAACAGCCAAGCAGAGAATCACAGCACACTGCTCAGAGTCCAACATTGCTTCCGGAAACTTCTGTCTCACTTACACACCTGTGGGCTGGGTGTCCGACCGTGGGTGCTGGCCCCCTGTGCCGGGAGCCCCCCCCCCCCCAAGCACATTCTCTGCTCCCTTGGCTCATTCTCTAGGCCTGAGCTGTAAACGGGCCATGTGGGCGCCTTCATTGTGTCATCATTTTCTTTGATTATTGGTTCCTCGGTTCATCGACGCTGGTCTCTCGGCACACGCTAGATCTGAGGAGTGGGTGCAGGGCCCCTGGTTCCCCACTCGGGGAATCCCGCCGGCCCCTACCTGAGGGCCACTGGGGCCCACCTCACCTCGCCAGACCTGTTTCCTGGTCTACTCCTAGGCTGCCGCGTGAGGTCACCACGGAGGGCTCGTCAGGCACACCAGCACCTGGGGCGCGCGTCCCCCCGCCCCCGCCGGGGAGAGGAGAGTCCCTGTGCCCGGGGACTGGGGTCCCCCAGCTCTGCAGCGGCCGGCCCAGAGCTACGGGGAGCGCCGATGGAGCCCCCGCCGGAGAGGGGGCGCGCTGCCCGGCGGGGAGCCCTGTCGCGGCCTGGGACAGAGCTACGCGGTGAGGGGCCCGAGGGCCGGGGGGACAGAGCTACGCGGTGAGGGGCCCGAGGGCCGGGTGAGGTCCGCAGCGGGGAAGCCGGGGGGGCGCGGCAGGGTGGCCCTGGGGTCGCGGGAAGCAGGGAGGGACTTTCTAAAGGGGGAGGTCTGGAGCTTGTTCGGATGCTGGGGGGGGAGGCCTCGCCCTGGATGGGGGGCTGCCCTGGAGAAGGGCGGGGGCCGGCCTATCCTAGTCTGTCCCCTCCTCCAGGATCCTCCAGGGTCCAGAGTGCGGGGGGCGCGTTTGGGGAACGCAGGGCAAGGACTGGAGACAGAGACACACGCGCGGGAGCGGGCACCTCGCGAGCGCACCGGGGACACACCCCCTCGGCGGGGGCCGGGCCGCGGGGACAAAGGGGCGCGGCCCGCGGCGTGGAGGGGGCGGCCAGCCAATCGGAGGGCAGCATTCCCGCCGCGAGGGCGGGGGCCAATCGGATCCCGGGCGCGGCCGCGCTGCGGGGACGCGGCCAATCAGCTACGAGGACGGGCCGGGGGGCGGGCCCGCGCGGAGTTTCAAACCGGCCGGGTGCGCGCGGAGCGGCCGTGCGGGGCGTGCGGGCGGCGCCGGGGGCTGTGGGTGCGTGCGTCCCGGGGACTCGGTGGCCCTTCCGTTCCCGCGGGACCCGGACGAGGCGGGGGGCTCGGGCAGGCCGGGCGCGCATGCGGGGCCGGCCGGGGATCGCAAGATGCGGATCGGGGGGTCCGCGCGGCGTTCGCGAAGGGGCCGCCGATGGGGCCCCGGCGCAGGGAGGCTCGGCGAGGGCCGGCCCGGACTCTGCCCGCCCCCCGCTGGAGTCCGAGGCCGAAAGGAGGCTGGAAGGGAAGACAGCCGTTGTAGACACCCGCAGACGCGCGGAGCGGCACGTGCCCCCTCCGCCCTCTTCTGGGCCTCGCTGACCCCTCTTCCAGGAAGCACCCTGCTTCCCGCACCCACGGCTGCCAAGGGCCTCCACGCCCAGCCCGGGCCGCCTGCATGTCCGTGGGGCCTGGGGAGGTAAGGGGATGCCTTGCTGACCTGCCCTTTGGTCTCCTCCCCAGGCTCTGGTGGGCTGAACAGACTCTTGCCCAGGCAGATGGCCTCCAAGTGGCCGGGCGTGGGGGCCTCGGTGCAGCCGAGATCGCTCCAGGACCAGCAACTGCTGGAGGGGAAGGAGGTGCTGCCGCGGGCCGCCTGCCATCCGGAGACCTCCGGGGGGGCCCTGGGCTCCCTGTGCAGACAGTTCCAGAGGAGGCTGCCCCTGAGAGCGGTCAGTCTCAACCTCGGCGCAGGGCCCTCCTGGAAACGCCTGGAAAGCCCCAAGCCAGGCCAGCAGGGCCTCCAGGCTGCGGCTCGCTCAGCGAAGAACGCCCTGGGTGCCGTGTCCCAGGTAAGGCGGGCGACGTCAACTGTCCCTTGGCCCAGGCTTCCGTGGTGCCAGACGGCTGAGGCCTCCAAGGGCCGCCGTGAGGAGGCAACCCCATGAGGACAGGTGCACTGTCCAGGGGAACCGAGCCCCACGACGCAAGACGATACAGCTGCGTTGTGGTAGGGTGGCAAGCAAGGGCGAAATGGGGGGACACCAAACACAGGAGGGCTTCCAGAGGAGGTGACTCCACGGAACCACCCAGGACAGGGGCAGTGGGAGGAGGTTGTAAGGCAAGCGAAATAGCCTGAGTCCAGATCCAGAGCTGGGGGACAGCGAGACGCAGAAGAGAAGTCTGGGTGTGGCCAGAGGGCAGAGAGCGAGGACGGGAAGGGCAGGGGTCCCGGGCGGGAGGTGTTTCTAGACTCTCCCAGGAGCGACTGGGAGCCAGGGGGAGGATTTTCAACAGGGTTGGAATCCGGCCGGATTAGCATATTAGTACTGTTCTTCAGCTAGGTTGGTAGAGGGTGAGAAGCAGATTCACCTCCGAGGGGCCTGGGGGCCTGGCCTTGCAGAGGCTCAAAGGTAGGTCTGCAGGGATTCGAGTCAGGTGACAAGTGTGGAGTACCTGTGGGCTTTCCAGGTGAACGGGTCTTCAAACCCAAAAATGAGGGAAGGTGTCACCTAGGAGGGACAGAAGCCGCAAGGATGGACCGACCCCCAAGGAAAGAATGGGGGTGGGTATCTCCTTGGGGTCTGACCGGGGATCTGAAATCCCCAGACCCTCCGCTGAGAGGTCTCTGAGCCAAACGTCAGTCTCGTCTGTAGGAGCCCCAGGACGGTTTTATTCCCCGGGGCTCAGAGACGTGAAATGAGACGGTCCGCCCACGGCCACACCACACACCACGTGGAACTTGGGTCTTAGTCTAACCTCTGGCCTCTGGCTCTGCCGGGCAGACGTTCTGGCTGAGAGGAGCCCCGGCGGGTCCGAGAGACCCCAGGGCTCAGGCTTGCCCCCGTAGGCAGTGAGGAGCCCCAGAGGGCTTCCGAGCCCTTGAGCGTCCCGAGAGCTGGCCCTGCAGAAGACTGCACCAGCGTGGACGGTGAACTGGTGTGTGAGACCAGAGGCGGGTCCTGGGGGGCAGGCCTGGGCTCTGGGCCTTGCTGGGAGAGCCGGGTCGTTACGGGTCCCGGGAGAGGGTTTGGGCTTGGGTGAACGCGGACTCTGAGCAGCGCACTCACTCCCCGGGTGGTTCTGAGGTGGCGGTTGCAGCAGACTCATCCTCCCCCGGGACCCGGGACCCGGGACCCGGAGCTGCCGGGGTCCGCAGGCCCGCTGGGGGGCCGAGGGGCGGGAGGTACAGCCGGGACACTTGGGAGTGGCGCCCGCTTGGCTTTGGTCCCTGCTCAGCTCTCCCTGTACCCGCCACAGAGAATCCAGGAGTCCTGCCACAGTGGCACCACGTGGCTGGCGGAGACCCGGGTGAGAGCCAGGAGGCGGCGGAGGGGGGCACAGAAGAGCGCCCGGCTGTCTGGAGACGCCCACGCCTACGTGGCCCTGGACCCGTGGGAGAGGGACGGTCACCGGCTCCCCGCCCACGGGGGCCCACGCGCCTACCCCCTGCGGCGGCCCAGGAGGGAGGCCGCCCTCCGCAGTCCCTACTCCTCGACAGAGCCCCTCCGCTCCCCCAGGTAAGGGGAGCAGTGCCTGGCGCCCCCAACGCGAGCTGGGCCCCCTCCCGCGGCTGCCAGGGGCACCTGAGCTGCCGGCAGCCATGCTCTGGCCCAGCTCTGCCCCGGCTGGCGGGGGGCCCGGGGGGGGGGTCCTCCAGGGCCTCAGTTTCCCTATCGGTCAAAGACGCGAGCCTCCCGGCGAGCCCAAAGCAAGTCTGAAAGCCCTCTGGAGGCCGAGGCTCAGGTTCCAAGGGGGCAACACAGGGCTGGCCTGTCTGCAAGGTCACCTGCCCTTGACCTTCCGGGCCTTGCGCTTTCTGTTCTGTGCCTGGCGTTCCAAGTGGCACCGATGTCACTTCCTGGGGGGAGGGGAGGGTCTGGGACAGGTGTTCCCAGCTCCCCGGGCATCTCCCCGGCCTGCACGCCCGGCCCAGTGCCACTTGGGGGGGCTGGCTACAGGTTTCCGCGAGTCTCGGGGGCGGCTTTTCCTTGTTTCAGCGAGTCTGACGGTGACCTAGAGCCTGTGGGAGCAGGACTTCAGCATCTCCAGCAGCTGTCCCAGGAGCCAGACGAGGCCATCGTGGCGGAGGAGAGGTGAGCCGGC